ACCACAATTCTCATTTAATTACCATTATTTAAACATGTTTTTTATCTAAAATCATTTATATTTAAACACACAACCACCATTCATTTGCAGCTTCAATAGATTTCCAATGACATTACACCTTTGTGACATATTCTAAAACAAATTCAGTTAAGTAAGATATCTAAGCATTTCCCCCCCCCATAACACACCTGTATGTATCATTAAATATTATCCATTAACATTTCTTTGTTATTACTGTAGTTGACTAAAAGTTTTTCTCACCTCTTCTGATTTTATTATTTTTTAAGACTTTATTTGTACATTATATTATTGTTTTTATTAATCAGCATAAAATCTAATTGGGCTGTTTTGACTCAAGCCTTGAAAAAAAGCTATTCAAATATCTACAACTCTTAAATATCCCACAGACATATACAACACCATATGTCCATGCAGAATTCTGGCAGCCATGACTGTGAATTATCATTTGCTTGAAGGGCTATACAGATCCTCATTAAAATATACATAGCCCTAAGAGGAGAGAGGAGGGGTCTTGAAGTTGCTTGTGAATAATTGGCACCTAGGCAGAAGACTGCATAGGCATATCCTTCAGTTGATCAAAGATTTCTCTAAAAGTCCACTCATTGAAGAGTACTTAAAATTTCTCCAGCACCATTAAAAAAAATGTTCCGCCTGAACAAAATTTAATGATGTGGAGGAGGGCCATGGGAAAGCGGGAATTAACCCTTTTGTTCTACCAGGAGAGAGCACTCCTGCTGATTCACAGCCACGACATTCAAAATCGCTGTGTCCTTATTATCTTTTGTTCTTGTTGATGGAAGTGATAGTACATTCGCTCTATTTTGGAGCTGTGAAAGTAGTTTTTGTGGGAACAACTGACTTAATATATTGACAGAAGTGGAAATATGTACCTCATCTTAGATAGTCAATTGTTATTTGTACCTAGTTGCTCGTTTATATAACATGTACTTATAAACTGTATAACATGTTCTTATAAATGTGTATGTTTTCCATGAAATTAATTTGGCATTTACCCAATTGGTTCTGAATCATAGGACATGCAGCACTTAAGAGTCAAGTGAAGAGGTATTTTCAATTAAAGTAAAAATACCTACTTCCCCTGCTAAAAAAAGATTACATTGAACCAAGAATGGAATGGAGTAATAAGTTTAAAAAGATGTATTTAACAATTTAATTTAACTTCCTGAGTAATTCCAAGGTTAGATCTGAAGAAATTGGATAACAGCTTCCAAAGCAATTATAGTCCTTTAGGAGACCAAGTTTTCATTATTTTTAGCAGTCTTCTCTGCACTAGAGCCATACATCTTTCCCATCAAACACCGAAGTCTCCCAAGAATCTAACACGTGAGAAATAGAAGTCTACAAAAAAGCATTCAAATATGGTTCATAAAGAAACATTTCTATTTGCCATCCACTATTACACTGTAGGTCAAGGCTGTCAAACTCCCAGCCAAAGGGCCGGATACGTCACATGCTGGCTACTCCCATGCCCAGTTTAGCGAAGGGGGAGGGGGAGTCCTGATATGTCACATGATGCCACTGTGATGATGTTAGCTTGACACCCCTGTGTCAAGCTAACTTGACTCAATCAATTGTGGTTGATTTACAACCACAATTCGGATTGGAATTTTCAGTCTTTGCAGTCATAAGTTGAGTCAGAACCATTTTACAACAATTTTTCAGTCAGTGTTAAGCAAATCACCAGGTCATTAGGCAATTTCAACTTCCCCATGGGAATTCTTTGCCAAAATTTGGCAAAAAAATATAGCAAATCATGACCACACATTCTTCAAAACGGTCATAAATATAAGCCAGTTGCCAAGAACCTGAAGTGATCACATGACCTAGGGATGGGGTACATTCAAAGTGCAAATATTGATCATTAGCTACTTTTTCCAAGGCCATCTTAGCTTTGAACCATTAATTAATTAATGATTAATAATTAAGTGAAGTCAAGCACCACCAGCATCCTATTACTTGGAAATGTACAGCAGTTCTGGACAAGACATGTTCCATGATTCCTTCATTCTTCCAAACCTCTACTATATTTCTCTTCTAAGTTGGGAAGCAGCACAAAACCCCAAAACTAAGAAACCCTTTTGGGGATCCCAGAGAACCCCCATAATGAAACTGGTTCTGAAAAGTGAGAGTTTAATTTTTTGTCAGAAGAAGAAGACAGATAATTCAAAAACATAATAAACTTTTCTTGAACAAAGGTCCCAACCTTTTCCAACCTCAGAAATTCCATCCTGGTTCATCTGCCTAGCATCAAAAGTTATTTATTATCCCACCTTTATTGTTATTTTAAACCAATAACTGAAGATGGGAAACATACCTAATTCTCTTTTTTCCTTCCATTTTCCTTGTGAGATGGGTTGATCTAAGAGAGAATGAATGGCTCAAATTCACCCAAGGCTTACATGCCTAAGGTGGGACTACATCTCACAGTCTTCTGGTTTTCAGCCTGGTGCCTTGAGCCTAGTCTATCCTCAACCATCAAAACTCAAACCTGTCACTCTCTTTCAGCCCAACAGCCACAAGGTTGTTGATGTGAGTAAAAATGGAAATAAGTTATATTACTTCTTAATTTTATTTATATATGTAAACAACTCTGAGCTTCTGGACAAAATACAGGATATAAATTGTCAGAGTGTGCACATATACACACACACATGCACATTTCTTGGCACATATCAGGCAAGCAATCAATCTCCAACTCTACACAGAGAACTACAATGCAGATAGAATCACGAGGAGAGAGATACACTAGGAGAAAGAGACGCCCTCACATGGCCTGTCTTATATAGACAGCTTCTTAAAGTAGCAATACTTCTGCTGACTCATCTTCATTTCATCATCTTAAGTTACAGGCTTACATTGGCTGGTCAGCTTTAAATCATCATTACCCTGACATAAATTTAACCCAAAATGAATACAATATACAGTAGACTATCTGGAGTGGGGAAGGTGTGCATTATTTTAAATGTGCATGGGCTACACAAATCAAGAAAACCACAAAATGGCACCAAGGAGATACAGAAAAGTCTAACTTTTTTTCTTCCACCTAGTATTTGTGTGAGGGAAAGAAAAGATTATGATTATTTCCAAAGGCTAACAGTGCAAGTTACAAAATCTACCACAAAAGTAAAATCATAATCTTTTAAAAAAAATTAAATACAGCCCTTTCTACTCTACCAGGAAAAGACTGTGAAAACTACCACCTTGCTCATTCTTTAGACCACTGCCAGGATTGGCAATATCCTGATTCATGATTGTTAAATGTCAAATTGAAGGAGACCAGCTTAGAACACAACTGTAGGCATGCAGGCTCCCTCCACAAGGATATTGACCAAGATTCTGGTCCTCCTGAGGTATGGCCAACACGCACATCAATATTTTTTGAAACAAACATATAATTAATGTCCTCAGGGGGACTCAAAAGTCCTTCATATATTTATTTCAAAAGCTTGAAGAGGAATTATGAGTTCAGTTCACCACAGTTCAACTTTTATAAGTTCAGTTTATTCAAATATAAAACACAAACTTGTGGCATCTGCAGCTTGAATGAAAGGGGCTTGTATTGCCAAAAGACATAGAGTATAACTGACATAATGACAGTCTGCTTTTGTTTCTGTAATAACTGTTGAAGGGAGGAATTGACAACCATAGTTTCACTCATCAGGCAGTATTGCAATGAAACTGCAATTAAGAGACAATCAATGATCACGGCAAAGAGAAGGAAAATTACCTGCACAAATAAGGCAATAATGGCTATACCATTCTTCTTTCCGACTGCCTCATCAATACTGTGATACATGGTAGTGTTCCAGTGGATCAGATGGAGCTGGAGAGAGAGAGGGAAGGGGAGGGCGGGGAGAGAGATACACAGAAATCACTTGTAGCAAAAGACAAAAGAAGTTTCCTAGCAGTTGCTGATTAGAAACCTTGCAAACATCATTTTCACATAGTCACATTATAGGGGAGATGGGTCAGCATAAACATTTAAAGAATAAATAAAACATAAACTGTTTTTGAAACATTTCAATTTTGTCTTTCCACACAATGACCTAAGATCATTTAACATTTGAATGAAAACAGTTAAACAAAAAATGTAAAGAACTGACAAACATCCTAAAAATTAGTGAACTACAATTAAAACAACAACCTAGTACCTGTAGCTCACTTAGCATAATAAAGACATTTATTAATGTCTTCACAGAGTAATTGAGAGAAACTGGCAGTTGGACTTACCTGAACTGCATGTTTCGTAGAGATGCGTGGGAGGAGTAACAC